AGGGTTTTTTGTGTCTCTATCTCCTTCAGTTCTGCTCTAATCTTAGTTATTTCTTGCCTCCTGCTAGCTTTTGAATGTGTTTGCTCTTGCCTCTCTAGTTCTTTTAATTGCGATGTTAGAGTGTCAATTTTAGATCTTTCCAGCTTTCTCTTGTGGGCATTTAGTGCTATAAATTTCCCTCTACACACTGCTTTAAATGTGTCCCAGAGATTCTGGTATGTTGTATCTTTTTCTCATTGGTTTCAAATAACATCTATATTTCTGCCTTCATTTCGTTATGTACCCAGTAGTCTTCAGGAGCAGGTTATTCAGTTTCCATGTAGTTGAGTGGTTTTGATTGAGTTTCTTAGTCCTGAGTTGTGGTTTGATTGCACTGTGGTCTGAGAGACAGTTTGTTATAATTTCTGTTCTTGTACATTTGCTGAGGAGTGCTTTACTTCCAATTATGTGGTCTATTTTGGAATAAGTGTGATATGGTGCTGAGAAGAATATATATTCTGTTGATTTGGGGTGGAGAGTTCTGTAGATGTGTATTAGGTCTGTTTCCTGCAGAGATGAGTTCAATTCCTGGATATCCTGTTAACTTTCTGTCTCATTGATCTGTCTAATGTTGACAGTGGGGTGTTGAAGTCTCCCATTATTATTGTATGGGAGTCTAAGTCTCTTGTAAGTCTCTAAGGACTTGCTTTATGAATCTGGGTGCTCCTGTATTGGGTGATATATATTTAGGAGAGTTAGCTCTTCCTGTTGAATTGATCCTTTACCATTATGTAATGGCCTTCTTTGTCTCTTTTGATCTTTGATGGTTTAAAGTCTGTTTTATCAGAGACTAGTATTGCAACCCCTGCTTTTTTTTGTTCTCCATTTGCTTGGTAGATGTTCCTCCATCCCTTTATTTTGAGCCTATGTATGTCTCTGCATGTGAGATGGGTCTCCTGAATACAGCAAACTGATGGGTCTTGCCTCTTATCCAGTTTGCCAGTCTGTGTCTTTTAATTGGAATATTTAGTCCATTTACATTTAAGGTTAATATTGTTATGTGTGAACTTGATCCTGCCATTATGATATTAACTGGTTATTTTGCTCGTTAGTTGATGCAGTTTCTTCCTAGCCTCGATGTCTTTACATTTTGGCATGTTTTTGCAATGGCTGGTACCGGTTGTTCCTTTCCATGTTTAGTGCTTCCTTCAGGGTCTCTTGTAAGGCAGGCCTGGTGGTGACAAAATCTCTAAGCATTTGCTTATCTGTAAAGGATTTTTTTCTCTTCACTTATGAAACTTAGTTTGGCTGGATATGCAATTTGGGTTTAAAATTCTTTTCTTAAGAATGTTGAATATTGGCCCCCACTCTCTTCTGGCTTGGAGAGTTTCTGCCGAGAGATCTGCTGTAAGTCTGATGGGCTTCCCTTTGTGGGTAACCGGACCTTTCTCTCTGGATGCCCTTAAGTTTTTTCCTTCATTTCAACTTTGGTGAATCTGGCAATTATGTGTCTTGGAGTTGCTCTTCTCGAGGAGTATCTTTGTGGCGTTCTCTGTATTTCCTGAATTTGAATGTTCGCCTGCCCTACTAGGTTGGGGAAGTTCTCCTGGATGATATTCTGAAGAGTGTTTTCCAACTTGGTTCCATTTTCCCCCTCACTTTCAGGCACCCCAATCAGACGTAGATTTGGTCTTTTTACATAATCCCATACTTCTTGCAGGCTTTGTTCATTTCTTTTTCTTCTTTTTTCTTTAGATTTCTCTTCTCGCTTCATTTCATTCATTTGATCCTCAATTGCTGATACTCTTTCTTCCAGTTGATCGAGTCGGTTACTGAAGCTTGTGCATTTGTCACGTATTTCTCGTGTCATGGTTTTCATCTCTGTCAGTTCGTTTATGGCCTTCTCTGCATTAATTATTCTAGTTATCAATTCTTCCACTCTTTTTTCAAGATTTTTAGTTTCTTTGCGCTGGGTACGTAATTCCTCCTTTAGCTCTGAGAAGTTTGATGGACTGGAGCCTTCTTCTCTCATCTCATCAAAGTCATTCTCCATCCAGCTTTGATCCATTGCTGGCGATGAGCTGCGTTCCTTTGCAGGGGGAGATGTGCTCTTATTTTTTGAATTTCCAGCTTTTCTGCCCTGCTTTTTCCCCATCTTTGTGGTTTCATCTGCCTCTGGTCTTTGATGATGGTGACGTACTGATGGGGTTTTGGTGTGGGTGTCCTTCCTGTTTCTTAGTTTTCCTTCTAACAGTCAGGACTCTCAGCTGTAGGTCTGTTGGAGATTGCTTGAGGTCCACTCCAGACCCTGTTTGCCTGGGTATCAGCAGCAGAGGCTGCAGAAGATAGAATATTGCTGAACAGTGAGTGTACCTGTCTGATTCTTGCTTTGGAAGCTTCCTCTCAGGGGTGTACTCCACCCTGTGAGGTGTGGGGTGTTGGTCTGCCCCTAGTGGGCATGTCTCCCAGTTAGACTACTCAGGGGTCAGGGACCCACTTGAGCAGGCAGTCTGTCCATTCTCAGATCTCAACCTCCACGTTGGGAGATCCACTGCTCTCTTCAAAGCTGTCAGACAGAGTCGTTTGGTCTGCAGAGGTTTCTGCTGCTTTGTTGTTGTTGTTGTTTAGCTGTGTCCTGTCCCCAGAGGTGGAGTCTACAGAGACAGGCAGGCTTCTTTGAGCTGCTGTGAGTTCCACTCAGTTTGATTTCCCAGCGGCTTTGTTTGCCTACTTAAGCCTCAGCAATGGCGGACGCCCCTCCCCCAGCCTGGCTGCTGCCTTGCAGTTAGATTGCAGACTGCTGTGCTAGCAATGAGGGAGGCTCCGTGGGCGGGAACCTCTCGACCAGGAGTGGGATATAGTCTCCTGGTGTGCCCGTTTTCTAAGACCCTTGGTAAAGCGCAGTATTGGGGTGGGAGTTACCCGATTTTCCAGGTGTTGTGTGTCTCAGTTCCCCTGGCTAGGAAAATGGATTCCCTTCCCCCTTGCGCTTCCCAGGTGGGGCGATGCCTTGCCCTGCTTCAGCTCTCGCTGGTGGGCTGCAGCAGCTGACAGCACCGATTGTCTGGCAGTCCCTAGTAAGATGAACCCAGTACCTCAGTTGAAAATGCAGAAATCACCTGTCTTCTGTGTGCTGGCACTGGGAGCTAGAGACTGGAGCTCTTCCAATTCAGCCATCTTGCTCTGCCCCCCACTTTTTACTTTTAAATATATCTCTTACAGTGGAGATATTTTATATTATTTCCAGGAAGCCTTATTAACTTTAGTCTTCATAATTATTAAACCTTGCACATATATTTGTTTGTTTCTTTTTTTTTTTTTTTTTTTTTTTTGTGAGATGGAGTCTCGCTCTGTCACCCGGGCTGGAGTGCAGTGGCCAGATCTCAGCTCACTGCAAGCTCCGCCTCCCGGGTTCACGCCATTCTCCTGCCTCAGCCTCCCATGTAGCTGGGACTACAGGCGCCCGCCACCTCGCCCGGCTAGTTTTTTTTTTTGTATTTTTTAGTAGAGACGGGTTTCACCGTGTTAGCCAGGATGGTCTTGATCTCCTGACCTCATGATCCGCCCGTCTCGGCCTCCCAAAGTGCTGGGATTACAGGCTTGAGCCACCGCGCCCGGCCCATGTTTGTTTGTTTCTAAAACTCAGGAATCCTGTTGACTTGAAGTTTTCAGTTTCTTTCTTCACCTGTGAATACTGAATCCTGCTTGACAGTCATAGATATATATATGAACTATTAAATCTTCAACTCGAATAATTATTGCTTAATTTTCTTTATGTGAGATCTTTTCTCCAATTTTAAACTGTCATCCTATATGGTGTAAATAGGCAATTCGAGTTAGTATTATATTGTTTACAGGAACATAAGAAAAGCATGTGAATTTTAAAGTGGGGTTTCACATTTCTATCTCACTTTATAGTAGTACTTAAAAATGCCTCATAATTCTATAGGTAAGCATTTCTCTTGCACAATTAAAAATTTCAAGGTTTTTATAAAAGTGGTTTTACAGAATCTTGTTGTTGTAGATTTAAATGTTTTCATTCAATTCAAAGATGCCTATTGCAATAATATTTCAGAAATATTTACCTATATCAATAAAATTATATTCTTGGAACAAGTTTGGAAATATATAACTTAGAAACTTAATCCCACGTTTTTCTCTCTCCTTTAATTTCATTTTCGAAATTTCAACAGTCTGCATAGATTTGTGTTGCTTTATTCTACCCATTTAGTCTATCTTATAAATATTTATTTTCTTATCACTATGTAATTTTCCTCATGTAGGTCATCTACTCATACTCCAAATGTATTTATCCAGATCTTTCTTCCAAGCCCCTTAGATGCCTCAAATCTTAGAGGTCTCAAACTGAAAGCATCTTTTTTTTAATTCTTTTCCTGCCTCTTTTCTGACTCTTTGTAATCTACTCAGTCATCTGGTTTCCCCATCCTAGTAAATAACATCTAGGAAGTAGCCATGAACTGCTCAAACACTTCAACCTGCATTTCAACTGTCCCCCACATCCTGCACTTCAACCCTCCTCCAGGTCACCAAGCCAGTCACACACCAAAATTTGTATTATCTACCTTCTCATAATTTTTCATATCTTATTACCATAATTAACCATCTACCTATAATTTGAAGTACTCCTTTCTAGTTTTGCCCCGTCTCCCCATGTTCATCTATCTTTACATCACTGGAAGGGTCACCTTTCTAAAATATATTTGTAATGATATAACTCGTCTGCATATTGAGCGGATACCCATTACCTGAAGGGTTAAGTTCACATTCTAGCGTGACACATATCTTACATGGTTTGGTCCCATTTTTTGTCTCTTCAACTCATTTGGTCTGACTGTGTTCCAGTTTTACCACATCACTTTGGCATCCCTCACTTGCCACGTTGTTTCATGCCTTATTATTTTGCACATGCTGTTGTATTGAGAGTCTTTGTATCCTGACTCTGCACTTTGCCTGTCCTTCCAAATATGGCCCCATTATGGCGGCATTTCTCTGCTTTTCAGGTAAAACTCATTGTTCTCTCCTTTGTACTCTTATGCATTTTATTGACTTAAATTGTAGAACTGGTGAATTATACTTTTCTGTTCTTTTTTTGTTTTCACATATCTCTACCATTTCTTGAATATAGGCCAGAACCTGTCTTCCATGTATATTTTCTGCTTCTCCCAGGATAGTGCCTATGATTTGATAGATACAGTGTATGTTTTTTCTTGTTGTTCTCTTTTGTCTTACTGATAAATTGTGTGAGTGAATAAACACATTTTTTTCCGGAAGTTTTTTGTTGTTGTTGTTGCTTTTGTTTATTGTTTGTAATAGGAGGAAGCAACAAAGACAGTAACTGGACAACACGAAAATGATATTGACATTATTGAACAAGCTCCAGAAGATCAAACAAGTAATGACAATTTTATTTTTATACCAAATAATAGAAGTGGTACATTAGTGAATATCTCTGAAAATCTTTCTATGCTTAAGTGCTATTATTTACAAAACAATTTTATAGACCGAAATACAATGGCTATTTAAAAAAATATTTTCTGATATCTTTCTTCATGCTATCAATTCTTTTTACTGAACCTGCTTCAATTCTGAAATTCTATTTTTGCTGTTAGCTTTGTTTTTTAAATACTAATAAATGGCAATAGATTTGTATATGGTATTACAATTTACAGTAATAAATGTTCTCATATATGTGTCTGTGAATAACATTTTGTAGATAAGATACCCACATCAGAATCAAGACAAAAAGAAGATACAGAATCTTCAGATTCTGAGGTATGTGTATTGTTGTTGTTGTTGCAATTTTAAAACTTAAGTAATGAGTAATCTTAAAACATAAAAAGAACATGACACACCAGGGCCTATCATGGGGAGGGGGGAGGGGGGAGGGATTGCACTTGGAGTTATACCTGATGTAAATGACGAGTTGATGGGTGTTGATGAGTTGATGGGTGCAGCACACCAACATGGCACAAGTATACATATGTAACAAACCTGCACGTTATGCACATGTACCCTAGAACTCAAAGTATAATAATAAAAATAAAAAAAAAAAAAACCCATAAAAAGATGATTTGACTTTATACTCTCACCTCTGCATGTGTCCGTAAGGTGGGTGATCATGAGGTCAGGAGATTGAGACCATCCTGGCTAACATGGTGAAACTGTCTCTACTAAAAACATTAAAAAATTAGCCGGGTTTGGTGGTGCGTGCCTGTAGTCTCAGCTACTCGGAGGCTGAGGCAGGAGAATGGTGTGAACTCAGCAGGTGGAGCTTGAAGTGAGCCAAGATCGCGCCACTGCACTCCAGCCTGGGTGACAGAGTGAGAATCCATCTCAAAGAAAAGCAAAAAAAAAAAAAAAAAAAAGAGAGAAAGCATTTATTTTCTGACATTTATCAGAACATACTTTATAATCATGTGCCAAGTAGATAATAGCTGCATAGTGCAATTCTGCTAATTTGCAGGATTAATTTTGAAGCCAATGTAGAATAGTGCAAAAGAAAATAAGACTTAGAAGGCACTAGGAATCTATTTGAGTTCTGAAGTTGAGTTTGTCTAAAAACTAAATAATTTCTCTGTTCATTTATGGGCAAATACATAATTCTGTGTATATCTAGATGTACAAAGGCTCTAATTGGATTCAGAGACAAAGAGTTTAAAGTGTAGCCTTAGTTGCTCAACTTGGAACTTAAAACGATAATGCCTGGGACTTGAAAGACTCCATCTCAAAAACAAAACAAAACAAAACAAAAAAAACCCAAAAACAACAACAAAAAAACACTTATAAGTCATTATAAATTTTTCTTAAAAACAAAATAGAGATGTTTGGTTAGAGAAATTGAAAAACTTTATAATTAGCACGGGTATGGGAGTGGCAGTGGAATTCTATGGTCAGAGTAGATCTGTCTGAGACTGCCATTTAATCTCCATCTCAAAGATGAAGAGTAGGCCATATGAAAGTTTAGGAGCAAAACATTCGAACAGAGAGAACAGTGGAACATATTTGTTCATCATTTTGTCTTAACAACCTAGAACGACTAGGAAGTAGAAAGTGGGTAACCACCACCATCGTCATCATCCTCATTATTCTAAAGTGAAGAAAAATCTGCAAATACGTGTCTGGCACATGTTAGAGGTTTCATGAATACATGCTTTTATTTTTCTTTTTTATGAAGGCTTGCTCTACTTTTTGAAGTTATGTCTTAAGAATGAATTGCACACTTTATCTAATGATTGTTTGCTTCATTTAAAAATAGCAAAAATATGTTTTCCTTATGAATCTTTTATTCACGCAGTTCTTTATCAGCAAAAAAACTTGTAAAATTTATTCTTATTATCTTAAGTCTTTGTTTTCCTAAGTGAAACAGCTTTTACAGAATTCTATTCCTACTCTGCATGACATACTCTGAAAATTCTCTTCATGCCGTGCATAATTTTTAACAAAAAATCTGTAATTATGCATATGTCAAATGTGTAATTGTGTTGTATTTTGTTTGAAATGCCCTGTTATTTTTTGCAAGGACTACAGTGTAAGGCAGATACTTTGAATTTAATTCCTTTTGAAATATGCACACGATTGAATTTTTTTGGGAATATGATTTATTTTCTTTGCTCAGTAACCCAGTCAGTAGTCACATGAAGATAAAAGATAAGCATGATATACAGAGCGTATTTGAGGTTTTCTCTTGAATGTTTGGTTTTCAATATGTGAACAGCCTTAAATCTAATTACCTTTAGAGTAAAAAATTTTGTTTTAAAAAGATTTTAAATGAAAAATATGATGCTTGTTATTATTATTTTTAAATTGAAATTATTTATTGAGGCAGGCTATGGTGTCTCACACCTGTAATCCCAGTATTTTGGTAGGGCAAGGTGGGTGGATCACTTAAAGTCAGGTGTTTGAGACCAGCCTAGCCAACATGGTGAAATCCTGTCTCTATTAAAAATACAAAATTTAGCCAGGTGTGGTGGCTAATGCCTGTCATCCCAGCTATTCGTGACGGTGAGGCAGAAGAATCACTTGGTCTTGGAGCCAGAAGTTGCAGTGAGCCTAGATCATTACCACTGGGCAACCCTGTGAGGCTTTGTCTCAGAAAAAACAAAACAAAAAAATAGTAAAAAAAGAAATTATTTATAATATTATCTTTAACAGATTATCTCTGTGAGTGATACACAGAATTATGTGTGTTTAACTGAGGCTACATATCAAAAAGAAATAAAGACAATAAATGGCAAAATAGAAGGTAAGAACCATTTCTTATTTAAAACATCATTTGACCAATTATTTGTCTAAAAGCATGAGGACTGATATACTCTGACAGCCAAAGAAAATTATTTTTTAAATGTGTAGCATGGAAGGACAAAAGGAGTGAAAGTTACATGTCTTCTCAGGTGTTGGCAACAGATTATATTGAGAGTGCCAAAAAAAG